GAAAAATCTAACAATCTACAGCAAAACCATCAATTATTATGGGCGTTATAACATAGGTGTGCAGCTGAACGAAACATACACGTCGAACCCCCCCAGACGATTTAAATCCCTGACGAAACATACACGACGAACCACGGCAACGGGTTAAACTGGAATCATGACATGTGATATGTACTGCACATATAACACCATATTTCCATGGTTGTCCAGACTGGGTCTGGGGCTTACCCAGCCTCCTTCCCTGGAAGTAAAGTGGGTGGGGGTGCAGCTGACCACTCAGCTCCATATAATGCTGAAGTCAATAAAGGTGGAGCTATACTTTCACTCCCCCACATCTTCATAGCATGGTCCTTAATTAATTAACCGTTACTTTTATTTCTGTGGTAATTTTGAGCTTATAATTGTGGTTAATCTGTGTGAATCATGTTCATGGTAGTTACTTTTCAACCATGAGTTATGCCACTTGTCTGAGTCTTCAATTCTTACAATGGTGCTATGCAAGAAGTTATATAATGTAGAACAAGAATTATATATTAAGAAATACTCATATTACTATAGGATATATTGGAAGAAAAGGCTGCTATCATTAAACTCATCCTTTCATTTGGGATGAGAATGTGAAACTTTTAAGAACTTAATATACTAACCATTTACTCCCCATATATCCTTAAACAAATGTACATCCAAAAGGAAGTGTACTTATATAGCAACTATAGTCATACATGTAACAAAAGGAGTCAGATTACCATCTATATGGACACAGGTCTTGAACTTTAAACCAAGAGCATCAGGAAGTACATTTTATAATATATTTCTGACTTGTACAAAACAAATTACAAACACCCACATTTTAAGCGGAAATTGAATGAAGTTTTTTGAAAAAGGTTGTTACTGTCCAATACAGGAGAGTCTGAATGATGTTATTAAATATTATTTTCTGAGATGTACAGTTTATACTTTCATACAGATAGTTTTTGTATGGTACTAGATTTATTGTTTACTTCATACATCCTTATGTTTATATACTATTCTCACAGAATGTAATATTTTATTTCTTTTCTTTGTTGTTATGTTGAATATAACATATAAACATTCTACACTGCCTCCTACAGTATTTCAACCTAGGTTAAATAGACCCGTCTAAACATTATGGTCTTCACTGGCTGATATTTGTGGAATTTGCACTGCCATTACATGACCCATCTGTCTGACATACAAAATGCCACATGATATCTCATACTCACCTGCAGAGGATGCATGGACTCATGGATCCTGATGTTGAAGGTGTGGAAGATGTCAATGTACAATATATGATGTTTTAAAAAATATCTGAAATATAATACACCCAACCCAACAATAATCCTATCCTAAGACCAAGAAACAGTACAACAGACTTAATATTCTGTACTCAAGTCTGCCTGATCAGATAATTTCCCACATACATATCACCCATATGTATGTAAATTCATACACTAAGTAAAAGCTCTACAGAACACGTTCATGCAAGGCTAACATTGCAACCATCCTTCCATATTCATATATTTGATATTAGCAGTTCTGCTTATTCATGGTGTAGTCCCAACAATTCATTATCACAGACCATTTTACTTTTACAAGTTCCCAGTCATGCATCTGCAAGCTTTGAGCTGCTTCTCAGCATCTAACACACGTTACATTATTATTATTAAAATATTTTTCTTTGATCCAACAGCCACCCCGTAGGGCTGGATATAAAAATTGTCATATATCATGTCAGAGACAAACAGTCACGTGCAATAAAATACAGATACACATTAAATGTAATATGTAAAATCTAAAGTACAAATAATAAATCAAGCCTCTTGGAAAACAATACAAGTTGTCAGTAAATAAAACATATAAAAATACAAAATAATAAATAAGGCCTTTTGCAAAAAAGCGCAAGTTGTTCCAATTATGACAAATTAGAAAGGAAAATATCAACTCTGTTGACAACATCAACTTTCCAATTCTTAGTTTAAATATTAGATGTTAAAACAATTGAGAACAGCTCTCTTGACTCAGAACAAAGACAGGACCAACAATATGTTTTGACTGACTATTTACTCTGCATTTATCTTTATGCTTCTTACATGGTCAACAAATTCCTCAATGGAGTAAAAGGAATTTCTTAATAAGTATCTTTTTAAAGCAACCCTAAATTGATCTTTATCCATTCTTAACATTGAGATACTGTCTGGTAACATGTTAAAGAATGTGACACCTGAGTAATACACGCCCCTCTGATACGACAACAAATGAGAAGCAGGCATATGAAAAAGATTGTTATTCCTGGTGCCAATCGTGTATATTGTATTATTTATCAAAAACTGGTCACAGTTTTTTACAACAAAAGTCAGTAGTGATAACATGTATACACAGGGAATTGGCAATATTCCCAGCTTCTTAAACAGATCACGACATGAGTGAGTTGGCCCAACTCCCATCATTATTCTTATCGTTTTCTTTTGCATACGAAAGACTTTAAGACAATCAGGGGTATTACCCCAGTATATTATGCCATATTTCATTAAAGAATGATAATATGCATAATAAATGGATTTTAAGTTATTTTTGTTTAGAATATAAGATAATTTTTGCATTTGGAATCCAACCATACTCAATTTATGAAGTAACTGATTTACATGCACCTTACAAGTCAGACGATTATCAATCTGTAAACCCAGAAATGTTGTAGTGTCAGCTGTTTTGAGTATTGTGTTAAGAAGCATAGTTGTTAGTGGATAATCAGTATGTATTATTGGTGTAAACTTTATAATTTTTGTTTTGTCAAGATTTAATGCAAGAAGATTTGCCTGAAACCATCTACTCATATGACTACAAATATCATCTAATTTTATTTTTAAATTATTATAGTCCTTGGCTGTACAGACAATGCTTGTGTCATCTGCAAACATTATGACTTCAGAAAATTCTCTTATTTCAAGGGGAAAATCGTTGATATAAATGTTAAAAAGTAGGGGTCCCAAGACTGAACCCTGTGGCACACCAGAGCGAACTAGCTCCCAGCCTGAATTATATTTGTTGTTGGTATATTTTAGTTCAACCCTTTGTTTCCTATTTTGAAATTAGGATTTAAACCATTGTACAAATAAACCCTGGACACCATAATATTGGAGTTTGAATAACATGAGTTCGTGATCTACACAGTCGAATGCCTTGGCTATATCACAGAATATGCCAACTGTATATTCTTTTCTGTCCCAAGCAGTTAGTGTTATATTAGTTAGTTTGAAGATCGCATCTTCAGTAGATAATCCTTTTTAAAATCCAAATTGCTGTGGGAGTAATATTTTGTGCTTTGTAATATGATCATTGAGTCTTTTATAGATTACCATTTCAAATACTTTTGCAAACCCTGTTATTATTGATATTGGTCTATAATTATGTATAATGGTTTTGTCTCCTTTTTTGTATAGTGGTTTAATAACAGCATATTTTAATCTTTCAGGATATACTCCCATTATTAATGACTTATTAATTATATAAGCTATGGGTTTACTTATTTGGTGCCTACTAAGTTTAATTAATTTATTTGTTATATCATCATAACCTGAAGAGTTTTTGGATTTGAGTTTGTTAACCACACCAATTATTTCACTTTCTGAAACAAGGTTACAGTTCATCATAGGGAAACCATTTGGGAAATGTGAACACAGATACTTCATTGCTGAATGTGAATTAGTTTTCTTTATATTAACATTTTCAGTTACTGATGAAAAAAATGTATTAAAATTTTGTGCTGCTTCATCCTTACTTACTTTTTCGGTATTGTGTTGGAATGATTTTGGTAAACTATCGTTATTGTTGCTATTTTTCCTTCCTGTCTCCCTATTAATAATACTCCATGTAGCTTTTATCCTATCCTTAGCTGATGCGATTAATCTGTTGTAATGTAGCCTCTTTGCTTCCCTTATTACTCTTCTTAATATACTACAATAAGTTTTGTAATATGTTTTGAAACTGCTACTTTGATTTTTACTAAGAATATACAAAAATTCTTTACATCTACGGAGGTACGTATTCCCAGTGTTATCCACGAATTATCATTATCTTTTTTACTTATATTTTTCTTAAGAAAACATGATTCATATATAAGCAGGTAAGTATTCAAAAATATATTATATGCTTCATTAACTTCATTTGATTGATAAATTTTTTCCCAATTTTCATTGCATATTTCATTTTGAAATTGTACTAATGAATCTTTGTTTACAATTCTAATCATAGTACCATGAAGCTTATGCTTGTTCAGATTACTGATATTCTTTAATATAAGACATTGGGCGTC